AAAACCCCAGTGAAAAAACGAGTCTTTAATAACAATCTCGCAAATAGTGAAATAATAGCAGCGATTCCCTTGAGGAGTCTAGTGAATGGGTGACACTGATCGATTGGGACGGACTCTTCAGATGATGAGTAGGCTCATGGGAAGGAGGTGGACCGATAGGACTTGTCACCGGGGAAGAAGAGACCAGCCGTGGTGGAGATGGCAGGACAGAACCGAGGACCAAGTTACCGTCTGGACGCTGGCCAAGCACGTCGACTCGAGTAGACACCCTAGGAGGAGATTCCCTTACTGGACACGAAGGCGAGGTTGAGGGATTATCAGCCTCGATGGTTTGGGAGAGAGCTTGGACTTCGTCAGCATCAGAACGCTGGATCTCGATAGAATGTGAACGATAAGCATTACGCTTGATGCCTTTGCCGACACATGCTCTCCTTGCCCTCCCCGACTGATACGACTCTGACATGATGATGAATATACTAACTGTACTCTGTACTTATCTCTCACAATATCCAACGTGCATCATTTCGTTTCATCTCAAAATTTGGCTCACGTCGCCGAACAGATGAACTAAAGGACGTGCGCTTATCAAAGTGCTCTGATGCTCTGTTCACAACCACTTAGGGAACGAAACACTAGAAAGTCTCGGGAGATCATCTTATGTCATCAGCTACGATAGTAAGATGAGAATATTCTGCTGCAACCTCATTCGTTGCGCCTATACCAGAACTTTTTGTCTAGCAGTAATTGTCTTCGCGTATATAAATGGTAGTTCGATAGCAGAATGGAGGTATACCTTGCATGCCCTCAGAAACACGATATCCAGGACCTAACTTACCTGACAATGAATCTCATATAGAAACTAGTAGACGAGAACAGTTGCAGTTACGGAGTTTCCTCGTTTTGAAACTCTCCCAAGCCCTAGGATTGGCCCTCCTCAGATTGTAAGCCAGACCTAGATAGTACCTAATAGTAGAGCTGATATGCCAATACAATCCTCAATATCTCACATGCCCCGCGGATGATCCATAGTACGGACGAACATTCAAGTAATGACTA